TACATTGGCAGAGACTGTCCTGGATTCATAAGGCCAAGGATAATTGGAACACGCCAGTGAAGTGAGGGTAATAACTGGGAGTGTAGCACTTCTACGCTGTGAGAAAGATCGATCACTATTTTGTCCCCGAAATAGGTGGTGTTTTAAAGTTTTTGTTTACTGTACTCTCAGTTCACTATTACATTAATAAATTTTTGTGAATTAATTGTTATCGATATTTAGTAAAAGGATTTCCGTTTTTTTACCGAGAAAGCATTTTTTAGGACTTTAAAAATACCCACAATCCAACGTGCCGAACAATTTTATGATAGTGATGTTTGCTACCTCAAAGTTTGCAGATCGAAACAGAACCCCAAATAAGAATTTCTCCACTAATCTGAATGTTAGGATCAGAATCGAATTTTGTTTTTTGCTGAAATTCATTTCGGGGTAATAGATATGCACTTTAATGTGCTAGTTTCATCTTCAAGAGGTTAGGGATTACAAGTCCACACCAACGCCTTATGTACTTCCTGAGCAAAAACATCTTTGAAGTTCTCCATTCATTTCCAGGCAGCCCTGCCAAGTAACCAAACAAGCAGTTATCCGCGTGCAATTTGTTTTGCTATTTATGTTTCAAATTTCAGTTTTTGTAAATCCCTGCAGGCAACCAATTGCACTACCAGCACAGCCTTGTTCCACGTCACGCCCATGTTCTGCCGGCACCTACTGTCACTACGGCTTGACGCCAGAAACCACAATTTGTTGCTCTCTCGGTTCCAATTTATTCATTTTTTTTTGCACACAATAAAACATCAAAAATGTCTTATTATTTTTAAAGTGACTTTTAGGAATTTTAATTACAATCCGAGCGTATTTGAAACTTTTATATAGGCCTTTCAGAAGGGAATCCGTGTGATCAGCCGCTAGTGACGGGTATCGGCAGTGGGTCGCAACAGCGTTGGTACTATAATGCGCAGCGTGGCACCTGCGAAATGTTTTTATACAAAGGCTTAAAGGGCAATGCCAACAACTTTTTGAGTCAACAGAGCTGCGAGCACTCTTGCAGGCCAAATCCGTGTGCCGAGGGTAAGCACCTTACGTTACATCAGATCCGTTTTCAGTGCATGAATTTAAAACTTAATTCATAGCAGAATCCTGATAATTTTGATAATTCATGGCTTGTCAAGCCACATACTCGAACTGGAAAGTTTCAAAAAAGCTATTTCTTCAGGGCGGCCGTACAGCACACCGGATGGGCGTTATCTGAGTTGCGACGTATCGCTGGAAGTTAGCAGCTGTCCAAGCGGATACTGGTGCAATCCTGGTGCCACTCGGCATACTGCTGTTTGTTGCCCTGGAGGTACTTTCTTCATTCTTACAAGAAGCGTCGCGCATATTCACTTAAGGGATTAACCACTGAAATTTCTAGTAAAGTATCTGAAAATTTACATTTCGGAAAGTATCAGGTCAGTTTACAGTCTCATTCCTTAGCTGTAAACACAGCGAGAGCACTGGATGCGAGTAGAAGTGAGAATCGTCAGTACAGCCTTCTACTCGCTATGTAAGAAAGAACCAAATACGGGCAAGCGAGACTATGATAAATAGTGATATATTGAAGAGCTAGAAGTAAAAGAACAGAAGAAAACAAAAAAGAAGAAAGGATTAAATTGGCGAATCAGTTTTAATTTATAAAAAGGAGGAAAGGTAACATCAATATTTTGAATACTTACGTGCAACACATGCAAAAAAAACTATGCTTTTATAGTTCTCATAAAAAGCTACAAAAATGATTTTACTTGAATGTGACTGCATACTAGACGTAGCTGTACAGCAGGTTGCTCCCTCTTTTCACATTCTTCATTCAATATATGCACATTGTTTCGAGTTCTCCCAAGTGGCTGCGTTATGTTGAAATATCCCTTTACTGTCCGGTAACGATTACTGGTCACCAGCGAAATGAACAGCTTTTTTACTTGTGAACTTAACGAATTAATAATTTGGCAAAATGTGTTTTTCCTGTCTGATCACAGAAGGGCATTCCAAGCATCTTTTACTTCATTGTTTCATCTATCTCGAGTTGGATACATTTATACATCTTTCCTAATGACCACCTCTTACATCCTCAAGGCATTGCTCATGATACTCAATAGGAGAATAGCAGTCTCCCTGTTTTGATGTGCTCGAGGGGGCCCAGTAATACATTGGTTTACTAGCTCCAGTCAAAAATTTTTCTTGGTCACAGTTGAATGGAGGCGCTGTTTGGAGTGCACTGCGTTGATTAAGGCTGTAAATGGACGTAGAAGTTTGTCATTTGCATTTGTCGCGACATTTTTATTAATTGATAAAACTACCTTTGCTGATTTGACTATTGGTCGTGGACTAGCGAGAACGTACGGATTTTGGGTAATAGAAGGGTGCAGGATTATAATAGGCATTGTTTTTTCAAGTGCTTGACGAAAATTAAAAACACCACGAATTTTTAAATTTCAGCAGTTGCTGACCCATGCACTCTTCCTGTGATAACCGGCGAAGGGGATGAAGAGCTGGAACGCTACTATTACGATGCAGCAACAAAAACGTGTCGAGCATTCACGTACCGCGGCATGAAAGGAAATCAGAACAATTTTTTAACTATGGTTTGACATTTAGAATTACCGTAATTTCAGTTATTTTGTGCTAAAAAAAGCCTTTCTCCAATGTAAACTTTCGAAATTTAAGTTTATGTCTGAACTTGTGTGCACTGACATTCCGCTATTATAAATGCCAGCTGCTTTTGCAAGTGATTCGATTCACAAAATTTAATAGCAGGAAGGCTTTGCTTCTCAGCACATCACGAAGTAGTCCACAATTTCTAGTTTAATTTAGAGTACTTTTACAAATTCAGAAATTAGTGTAATGCTCATTGAAGGCTGAAATTAGTGCAAAAAAAGTATAATTAAAGAAAATTAGTCACTGAAGTTAAAATTAGTACAATTAGTATTTAGACGGCCTGTGAGCAGCAATGTCAACCACTCGAAAATCCTTGTATTGGTCAGCCAGCAACAACTGCTGCTGGTCAAGTTATTTTTTGTTCGGCAACCAACAAGGAAATGTGTCCAGTGAATTTTTGGTGTCATGTTGGGGCTACACCCGAAACAACTGTTTGCTGTCCCGGAGGTAGTTTTTTTTTTTTGAACTCTGTTATTCATTTTCTAATGTAATTCAATGCTGCCAAGCTGATTTAAGACATTTAATTTTATTTTTTGCTTTTTTGGTAAAATTCTGCATTCCTGTAGTCCACTAAATCTCAGGCCTCTCTAATCTAGTTCTGCGCTCAATGATTTCAATATAATTTTTGCTCGAGCTTTGCTTCCCTTTAATTTTCGTTTCTCTGTGATGCGTTAATGAATCCAACTGCTGATGAGCAATAGCTACTTTGAACGGGAGAGGTGAGGTTGCTCTTTTAGTTTTATTCTAGTGGGATGCCAAAACAATCCAAAAAAATGCAAAAAGTAAAATGGTTCATTTTGGGTTTTAAACTGAGGATTTTCTTTAAAATTTGCTTTTGCATGATATCTATTTAACTGTGAACGGCTGCTTTGCGCAGTTGAAGCGCAGGAAAATTCATTGCAGCAACAAACCCGTGCTCGGTTCCACTATCTCCTGGTAGTGGCAATGCGG